TCCAAACCTGACGAGATATGAAATTGGCGTAGCCATAAATGAAAATACTGGATTACAGGCTATTTAAAATTTAATGTATTAGCGCACATACATATGTAACTTTAGGGCTTTTGGGGCACGTCTGTCAGTTATCGGACCAATTATTTTCATGATCAAACAAACCTATATACGGGGAGTCTTGCTTAGTAGCTTACACAAAAATGGTCTTATTAAAGTTGTAATAGCTATGACCAATAAATTATTTTCCTCAACCCACTTTTAATTGAACACAGGTGTTAAAAGTTCTGGAAAAGCTGCTTATTTTCTTGGTGTATTCCCCTATGTGGTGCTACTGATATTGCTGTTACGCGCTGTAACGCTACCCGGCGCTATGGATGGTATAATTTACTTTTTCAAACCGCAATGGTCTGAGCTGTTAAATCCGTTGGTAATTGGTGGTTTATTTTATGTGTATTTATTATTATTATTATTTTTGCATTGTATTTTACAAATGAATTTGTAACGGGCGACGAGGCCATTATGCACCGGTGTTAGTTTAGGTAATGATGTTTCGTCTAACAAGTTGTGGCTGTATAGCATTCTTTCGATGTGTGTTTATGTTTTATGTTAGTTGGGTTTCATATTCTCCAACATAAAAGTATCCCGTAACTTACCAGTAACCAAATTTCAGAGAGTAAGTCAACATTTGATCTCAGTTAGAGAAACGTTATTAGGAAATTGCTTCGGAAAATAACAAATCAATCAGCAGTTCATAAAACTTGCAACTTCTTGTTAGTTTTGCGTTTTCGTACTTTCTTGCATGTTTCTCTCACTAGAGCAAATATGGTCTTACTCTCAGAAATTTGGTTATTGGCAAATAATTGAATAGTTTTTTACTGGAGAATATGAATATATCGTCGTCCCCTTATGCCAGAAACATGAATGTGTAAAAATTAAAATTTTGGGAAATCAAGTTCGAAAGTTTTTTTTTTTAGACTTAACTCTACATTCATGTACGCATGGAATTTTGGGTTTTGGTATAACATAGAACATCCAAAGGTTAATCAAGTCAACCGAATAATTCAAAATAGGTAAGTTTGCACATTCATGCTTCTGGCATAAGGGTGACGCCTCCAAACCATACAATGCTAAGTCTGAGTAAGTCTAATACTGTGTTTACATGGGGCGATTTTACAGACAACTTTTAGTTGAAAGCAACAATCGCCTAGTGTGAACGGCATTTCAACTAATCTCTTCCAATGGTATGGTTTGGAGGCATCGATATGTAGTAGCTTATGCAACTGTACGAGTTTAAGTTACTCATACGTAGTGGCGTCGTTTTATTTAAAATGCTAGAGTCGCAGGGATTTCGATTTTTGATCGGAAAAACGCAACAAAAACTTCAAAAACCTTGTAACTTATGAGATTGCTAGCGGGTTGCCGAAAAGACTTTTATACATACATATGTATATGCAAATATGTATAAGTTGCGATACCGTACGAGTCCGAACTAGTCAGATTTTACTGGAAATCGATCCCGTACTCGGTTCTCTGGTAAATGAGAGGACAAATAAGATAGTAAAAAAAACATTATCTCTCAATCAGAAATTACCAGGTTTAGGCCGAAGAGTATTTGCTGGTAAATACTGGTAAATGTGTCAAAGATCAGCTGTAAAGTGTATTAAGCGACCAAACTGTAAACAAAAGAAAGGTGCACTCTGCCAATGTGTTGAAAGATATTTAGTTACTTGTTTGATTGGATTCTAATGAAGTTGTAAGTATTTTTAGTTATTTACAAGTGTGAGCGAGTGTATTTACATACAAAATAAGCAAAATTTTACAAGCAAAATTTGGAGCGAATTTTTATTTTATTACAGACTAAAATTAATCCGAGGAATACGGGATTAGTCGATTTTTGGATCGATAAAAATAAATATTGAATTGGAAAGTAAGTCTAAAAAATAAATGCACCAATTGAAATCGATTCATATACATATATATGTACATAAGTATGTACCTCACTTATATAGCACATTACTTTTCTTCAAAAACTGGTAGACATTATAGTAACCTCGTAATTACTCATTAACCGACTTCACCAAAAGGAGAAAGGTTATCAATTTGTCCGAATGTTTATTTTTTATTTTTCTTATTTCTATTTTTTTTTATGTATGTTACCGCATAACTTTGGACCACGTTAACCGATTTCTATAATTCTTTTTAGGAAAAGTGTTGCCTCAGAGGTGGTCCCGTATTAATTTGGTTTAACTCCGTTCGTCGGATCATGAAGAAATTAACGATAATCTTACATTTTTATATGAGAATTGAAGTCGGTTTTGTTTTTTGCTAAAAAATTACGTTTTTTTTTTAATTTGAGTAGTCCACTTGCAAAGTGCGCTATGAAAAATTTTTTCGATTTTTAGTTTTTGGTGGATTACGTACCAGTATTTAAAGTAGTTGCATGTCCACTAACAACACAGTGCAAAATCTTTTTACATTCTGAAAAAAATAGCATCAAATGTTAACTCTTCTTCCAAAAGTCGCAATCATACTTATTTATAATCTTTCAAAAGTATGCATCTTCTGATGAACTTAGAAAACTGCTTTAAGTCGTAGAGACTGTTAATATTAGCTCTGATCCAATACTTTTCGTGAAAAATCCTGTAAAACTGTCAAACAGCAAAATTACTCTCTGAAGTGAGAGTAAAAAGTGAGTAACAACAAAAAGTACGGGAACAAAAAAAAACATTTTTCCTGTAAAAACGTCAACCATGGTTGAGCAGTGATTGCTTGACACTTTTCATGATTTCGGGTAAAATCTTGCAACTTCATTCTCTACACAACTCTCCAAAAGTCGCTCTCATTTACAGGATTTTGGAGTACGGGAACATTTTTCCTGTAACTTCCTGCAAGTTCGTGTAAAATCCTGTAAGTTCATAGAGTACTGGATCAGAGCTATTATCTTATGTCATGTTATGTTTTGTTACAATTTTATAAGGCTTTTATTTATCCAAACTTTCAGGTAATAATAAAAAAGATTCAATTTAAATGTTACTTGTTGTCGTAGTCGTTTTTTCAAATTTATGGCGTTCTATTATAAAATCACATAACGCTGTTTGCAAGTGGACTACTCATTTGGTCTAGTATCGCGACAATAAGTTGACGCCGCCCTCTGTCAATTCCGCGTCGCCTTTGTGTATTGGCTTCATTTCAAGTTTCCATTTCTTTAAAATGAAGGTTCCCGCATACAAGTGAAGATATATGTAAGCCCGTTTTTTGGAGAAAAACAATGTGCCCTTTTCAAGTGAAGCGGGCTATATTTAGGGCATTCTACTTCCTCTCTTGACCTTCATTATCAGGCCGATTCTGAATAGAAACTCCCCGGGAGTTTTTCTTTTTTCCCTTTCCTCCTATCATGAATAAAAATTCGCTGAGGTTTTTTATATTAAATGGCGTAGTTGAGCTGTCCAAAAGGTGTCAAAACGCTCTTTCCAAGTTCGAATTTCCTCCTCCCAAATATTCGGGGAAAATGCTAATCCCTGGGAGTTAGTTATTGGAGTATTTGTTTCTCGGGCGAAACAAATTCTCGGAGAACGAACTCCTCGGGATTATTCAGAATTGGGCTGTATATATTTTACTGTATGCATTTTAATTTTTAACTCATGTAGGTCTGGTATGCCGCAGTCACACAGGTCTTCTTCTCATTAGCCATTTGTTTTGGCACTTTAATCACTTATGCCTCGTACAACAATTTTTCACGCAATGTTTACAAGTGAGTTTGCACAAAAGATATGCAATTAAATGTTTTATTCACCTACCTTCAATACTTTGCTTCAACTCCAACCATTTTCCACTCACTCCACCACGCAGAGATATTGTCATAATCACCACCATGGATTCCTGTTCATCCATCATTGCTGGCTGTATTACATTCGGCATACTTGGTAATTTGGCCTTCAAAACTGGCGCACCGGACGTTGCTAGCGTTGTAAAAGGTGGTTCTGGCTTGGCATTCATCTCGTATCCCGATGCCATTGCCAAATTCGAATTCATTCCACAAGTACGTATCGATGTGCACATGCGCCCAAATGGCGCCTTAAAACAAAACTACCTAAAAGGCATTCGCGGTTCTTTTCTTTTTGATGTTATTCGTATTAGGCATCGGCAGCACGGTCGGCATGGGCTCCTGTATAGTGCGCGTAATACGTGATCGTTGGGTGCGTGCGCCAAATTGGGCACTGGCATTGAGCTTAGCTGTGTTGGGTTTTGCTGTGAGCATTGTTTACATGACACCTGGTGGACAATTCGTCTTGAATCTGGTGGATTTCTATGGTGTCTCGTTTACGGCACTAATTTTAGCAATTGGCGAGCTGCTGGCTGTCGGTTGGGTGTATGGTAAGCGTTGGCAGTGGTTTGAGGAGAATTCAACATTGCTAAGAGACTCTGTTAATTTACAGGAGTGAAGCGGTTCTGTGCCGATATCGAATTTATGGTTGGTTTGAAGACTGGTATTTATTGGCGCATATGCTGGGGCGTTATTACACCCGGCCTCATGTTGGCTGTGCTGATTTACACGCTAATAGATTTGAAGCCGTTGACTTATAAAAATGTCGTTTATCCGGGTATAGCACATGGTAAGGACAGGTGTAAAGGCTGCCAAAAATATTTGATATGTAGTTATATAAAATCTTTATTTTGAGCAGCTTTTGGTTGGTGCTTGTCTGCTATTGGACTATTACAAATACCAGGTTGGGCTTTGTATAGCATTTGCAAGCAAACGAAACGCACTGGTTTGCTGAAGGTAAACAGGGCACTTATCCTCACTTAGTAGTAAAATTATTATTTTTTTCTTTTTATTGCTTTATGCTTCGTCGCTTTAAAAGGTGATTTCTGCTGCCTCGCCCACAAAAAATTGGGGTCCTTTGGAGACGAAGAAGTGCGAAGAGTACGTAAATCATCGTCGGAAATTAGAACTGAAAACAAAGCAAAGAACAATTTTACAAAAAGCTTATGATAATATATTTGGCTAAGTTACCTTTTTATTTTTTATTATTTATGAAGTCTTGCAGTGTTTACTTAGCATTTTACTATCTTTTATGTAATGAAATATAAAAAATGTTGAATGAACAAAGTAACTATTTTAGAAATAAATACGGAATTCCAACGCCAAAATAGCGAAAATATACATAAATATTTAAACTAGAAATTAAGAAATATGCATGGAAATTATTCAGAATCTCGCAGTCTGTGGTGATTGTTTATTTTATTTCGCCCATGTATGCAGTCTCTTAGTCTCCGTTTTCTCTTTTAGTTGCTATGCTGCGCATTCGCTTTGGTCTGTTCTGCTATTGCTGCTTCCGCTGTGTAAATGCGTTTCGTAACCAAATAGTCGCGCATGATTTTGAAAAACGTAAATTGGTTTGTGAGCGTTACAAAGCTCAGCGACAACACAAAATGCCATTCGACGGCATAATATAAAACTATTATACCTGCGAGAACATTGGCTGCTTGGAGACCCGTGAGTACCATGTATATAATGGATGGATTGCGGAAGAGTTTCTATAGCAAAAGGCAAGGAAAGTAAAAACGTATTCTTGAATTTAAAAACATCATTTACTCACATAAAATCTAGAATGACTAGAATTTCCTGGCAATGCAACAGTTACTGGACTTAGACAGCTGAATAACTCTCCATTATGCTTCACCACACTGCCCTGGACCCATACGCTGTTAAGTTTCCATGAAGCAGCTGTGGCAGTAGACGCACCACCGCCACCACTACAACTACCAATGCCACGTACATCCATTCGCGACCAGTAACCTAAGTGTAACGATGCGCGATGTAATATATCGCTATACTTTGACGGAAAACCAAATGCTGCTGCCATGGTAAGACAACTTATCCAAAAGTAAAATGCATTCTGATATGCCCAGATAACGTTGTAGTAGATGGAAACAGTAAAGAAACAGGGAACAAGGCCTACGTAGTAAGCATTCAACATCGAGGTGAAGAAAATTTGCTTGAATCGTATGTTGAAATCATTCCGTAGTACATCAATTTCATCGCGTATGGTATCAGGACTGCTGGAGCAGCAATGCATTGGCATCCCATTGAAGTAGGCACCTTCAACTTCGCACGAGCTGCGTAAAAATGATTCGATTTGAAAGCCAAATACGAGCACGTAAATGACGAGACTATGGGTTGATAATAGAAAGTTTACTATAAAAGACTGTCGTTTAGTTAGAACTACGTACTTACGGGTAGATGAGCAAAAATACGGGTATAAAGGAGTGTTTTATGTAAATTTTAAAAACACAAAAGCCAAGTAGTATTGCAAACCAGCTAATAAAACTGTATTTAATAAAAACTCTATACAGGCGGCGGTATTTGCTGTTAAAGCTGTGTAGCAAATCCTGGCCGCGTATAAGAAAACAATAAATGAAACGCCGCGACATCAGCAATACGATGAACGCTACCAAGTATGGTTCAATGAGATGAACATTCTGTAAAAAAAAAAAAACTGGTAAACTCTGAGCATAATTTAATATGTATTCTTTTCTTATGTTGACTTGGTTTGCGCACTTACAACTGTATGCTTTATATAAGATTCCGGCATCCACCATAGCGTGCGGTAAATGTTAATAAATTGCATTGCGGAGGCAAAGGTTGTGAAAAGAAACATCACCAGCTCATTGATAAGTTCTGAACTGCCGGAAAACTCAGGAAATGGTATGTGCTTTGGCATTGGGGTGGCATCAATATTGCTGTAACCACCGCAACTGCTGTTCCGTCTACTTGTGCCGCAACCACTACCGGTCCTTGCTTCATGTGGATTTTCCGTGCCCATTTTTCAATACAAATTTCTCGGTTCAAAACTTTATAAATATTGTTTCATATTTTTCACAATTAAACATTACTTATTTTTTACAATTAATCGGAAGCCAAATAATTATTTTTCTCCCGCTCGTAATTTGCCGAATTTATTTAGTAAATAAAGAAAGGCGAATTGGGTCTTCGGCGAATTTAAACATATGGCATAAGTCAAGGCGAATTTAACGTAAAACCATATGCGCCATCTGCCGGTCGAGTCTGAAGTACAAACGGATGTACATTCATAGCGACAAAAAAGCGAATTTCCACAAAGTTACTTCCGCTCCCCACAGCAATGAAATATCTCAAACTTATGAGTAACGCATACAAAGTCAAACTTTATTTCTTTTTCCCACTAAATTGCCATGAGGTCCCTTGACTGTGATCCTGTATATCAATTCCATGTTGTCGCAAGCAATTACGCAGTTCGTCACATATACGAAATAGTTCTTTGTTCTTAGCAGCTACCGCAAGTTCGCGAATTGATCGCCTAGACTGCAGCAAATCCTCCACTAAACCATCTAAATCGAATTCTGACGCCGTACTTATCGCCTGCGGGTTTGAGTCCTTCACAAAATCAAAGCCGAGAATGCCTAAATGTTGTTGCACAGCATTATCCACTGCGGCTATTGCGTCCATGCAGCTGCCTACAGTCAATCTATACTCAACTTCTCCACCGTCTGCTGCGTTAATGTGCCGATTCACCGTACTTGCTTGATCTAGCAGTACAGTAATGCTGCTCGCCGTATCAAAATCATCTTTATAGCAGGCATCTATTTTCTGAAGCGCACGCTGCAAACCGCCCACCAACTCACTTGCCTCCACTAGAGCGCTCTGCTTTTTCCCACTCAGGTATGCAAGGCAGTCCGCTCTGAAGGTTCTAAAACGTTTCAATGTGTTTCTTGATGTCTGCATTAATTCCTCGCTGTACTGCATTTCATTTCGATAATTCGAGAGCGCGCATGCCATGCGGAACTCATCAGCCGTATAGTGTTGCAACATTTTGCCAACTGAGATAGTGTTTTTTAATGATTTTGACATCTTTTCCTTTTGTCCCTTAACATGCAATTGCCCAGTGTGCAACCAATAATTTACCCATTGCTGAGTGTTATGGTATGCACAACTTTGTGCCTCCTCGTTTTCATGATGTGGAAAGCGCAAATCCAGGCCCCCAGCATGAAAGTCTATATGTTTTCCAAAAATCATGCTAGCCAACGTGCTGCATTCGATATGCCACCCAGGGCGTCCTGCGCCCCAGGGCGTAGTCCACGACGGTTCTTTCTCGTTTTTTTGCGCTTTCCACAGCGAAAAATCTGCCGCGCTCATTTTACCATCCTTAACCGTTGTCTGCCCGGCTGTGTCCAATAAATTTACTTTTTGTAACTTGCCATAGTTTGCGCACTTGTTTACATCAAAATAAATGCTACCACCGCTACCTTCATAAGCCTGTCCTTGTTCTACAATACGTCGAATAAAGTCGACAATGTACGGCATCTGCTCAGTGACGCGTAGTTTTATATTTGGTTCATGTACATTGAGTAGCCGTAAATCCGACCAGAACTCACTTTCGTAGAAGCGCGACAATTCGCGCCAACTCTTCCTACTTTCAACACTTTTCTGTATTATTTTATCATCAATATCGGTAACGTTCATAGCAGTAACAAGGTTCATATTGAAATGCTCGCGCAATATGCGTTGTATGATGTCCAATTTAACGTAACAGCTTGCATGTCCCAAATGCATGGAATCGTAAACGGTGGGACCACATGTATACCAAGTAGCGTATGTATTATTGGACAGTATCAACGGTACTTTATGGCGAGCTGTACAATTATATATGCGTATACCAACATCTTTGCCAATTGTAGGCTGTTGCCACTGATGTTGGCTGGCGAAGCGTTGAGTGGCTAGGGGCCAATATTTGTTGGGCTTGAGAAAACTATAAACGATAAAATTAGATAAAGTCTGGAACGAAAGTGTACACTCACCAACTGCGAGACATCCTGTTGGTATTTTATTTATTCCATTTGTTCAAGGAGCCGGTTTATTTTCCTTGTTTGCTTCAATTGCTGCTCGCGCTATCGCAATCAGCTGATCCCTCCCACAAACCCAAAGGTTGCCAGCAGACGGAAATGTGTATTAGTGATTTCTCCCAAAATACCCAAATTATTTACAGAAGAGCCAATTTTATGGGCAATTAGTTTTCAGTTAAATAAATGTTCCAAAGAGTTAAACTAGAATTAAAAATTTTTTAAATTGTATTATATTTAAATTAAATTACTTTTAAATAAACGCTTGATACACATGAAAACTAACCTAAAAAATCCACCATCTCTATGGCATCTTCAAATGTAGGCATCAGCTGTTTTATTACGAATGCAGCGTTATTGCGGAATTGGTGTAATTTTGGCATCTTTAATTCGCTTTGAGCAAAGTTTTTCTTTAATTAATCATCCTAAATAGCATTCCTGGTAGTATTTTATTTAAAACCACCAATAAAATGATGCGCTACGAGGGAGATGAGAAGTTGGCTGATACCTCAGCATGTGCGGGCGTCAGAGCGGATCTCAAGATGTGCTTGCTGGAAAGCGACTGCTGTCGTATTGTGGGTTCGAATGAAACGCAACCATTACATTTGAAGAAAATTTAGGAGAGTTTTTGTATGTTTCCAGGATAAGAAGACGCCGCGTGAGTGCCTTAAGGGCAACAATGTTCCAGAGGAATGCCAGATTCTGAGAAACACATTCTTTGAGTGTAAGCGCTCTTTGGTAAGTCGAGGACAACTATGTATATTCTCTATTATATACTGACCGAATTTCTACTCTTTTCCAGCTTGACAATCGACAAAGGTTTCGCGGACGCAAAGGTTATTAGTTGGTATATTTAAATTACATAAATAAGGTTACTCACGTCAGCGCTATTGTAATGTTATTGTGTTCATAATTCAAATAAAATATGTTGTTTACATACTAACTTAAAATTTAAATACATGAATTACATTAAATGCTAAAAAGAAGTCTTACACGAAATTTAGTTCCGTCTGCGTCGTACACGCGATATACGCCAAGCATTGGGCTCTTCATATTTATTGTACAGTGGTTCGAGTCGTTGATTCTTCTTGAATTTACTCAATTTCGTTGGATCCGAGAAGCGGAAGAATGATGGTGCGAATTCAACCAACCATTTCGGATCTATGGTGGTCACTTCACGCATATACTCCTTGGTAGTCTGTACAAGTTCATGATAAACCACCCACTCGGGTTGACGATTGAAAAGCGCACTGGATGGATGTATATAGACCACTTGTGAGTCTACGAGTGTACGATAACCTTCTTGCGGATCCTTTTTAGCGGCATTTCGGAAGAAACCTGAGCAGATGGCTTTTTGTATGCGTACAGAATTTTTTCCAGCCGAGACAACATCCAATTTATGCCGATCCATAATGCCCAGCAACTGCTTGCGAACATCCTGTGAACGCTTAAGAGTGCGAATTTGTACGAAGTTCTCATAACACCAGGCATTCGAAAATTTATTGTTCTTCCAACTGTTGTAGACGGCAAGTAGCGTTAGATGGTCACCTTCGGGCTGATTAAATTTAGCTTTCTTCTGGTCCGCCAAAGCTTGTTTATCCTTTGGCCGATAAAAGACGTTCTGTACGCTCAACATGGATACAATTGTGAGCACTTCATCAGAGCATTGTAAAGCCACAGACATAATCAACATTTTCGAGAGATTTGGTTCCAGCGGAAATTCGGCCATACGCCGTCCCAAGCGTGTTAATAAGCCTTCGTCATCCAACGCGGATAACGAGTGCAAGTTTTCCAAAGCCATTACCAAGGATTCAACAGGTGGCGCGTCCATGAAATCGAAGTGCAGCAGGTCATTTATACCCATTGTCTTTAACTGCAACACTGTCATTGCCAAGTTCGTACGCTGTATCTCTGGCACTGGCGTGGGTAGCATCTCGTCACGATACGCACGCTCCGTATATAACCGATAGCATTTGCCAGGCCCGGTGCGGCCAGCACGTCCGGCACGCTGCTTGGCCGCGGCTTGCGAAATTGGTGTTACCACCAGTGAATCCATGCCCGTTTTTGAATTGTAAACTTTCTGCTTGACGAAACCCGGATCAACGACATAAAATATGCCATCGATTGTTAGCGAAGTCTCTGCAATATTGGTGGCTATAACAACTTTACGGCTACCCGCTGGCGCTGGATCGAAGATGCGAGTCTGCATTTCGGATGGCAGCGCCGAATACACCGGCAGTATAATCAGTTCAGGTACATCAGGACCTAAGCTTTTCATGCGCTCGTAGAGTATCTCGCAGGCGGTGTCAATCTCTTCCTGACCCGTGAGGAAAAGTAGTATGTCACCTGGCGGTTCACGCAAATGTATTTGCATAACAGTAATTAGCGAAGCATCTAAATAGTCTGTCTCTGGCTCTTTGGTGTACAACACTTCGACCGGGAAGGTACGACCTGGTATGGTGAAAATTGGCGCTTCAAAAAAGTACTGCGAGAATTTTACCGCATCTAGTGTGGCTGAAGTGACGATCAACTTCAACTCTGGTCGCTTTTGTACGGCGCCCTTTAAAAGACCAAAGAGTACATCTGTGTGTATAGTACGTTCATGCGCCTCGTCCAACATAATAACGGAATAAGACTTTAAATCAGACTCCATCAAACACTCGCGTAGCAACATACCTGAAGAGGAAGTATTAGATAAATTTTGACATAATTCTGTACGTAACATACCATCTGTCATGTATTTGATAACTGTCTCGGGACTGGTGCAGTCCTCAAAACGAATGGTGTAGCCCACTTCTTGGCCCAGTCGACAACCGAACTCTTCTGCCACACGCTTAGCTACCGACATGGCAGCTACACGACGTGGTTGCGTACAACCGATCTTGCCTCGTGCAGTAAAACCACTTTCAGCCAAATACTGGGTGATTTGTGTCGTCTTGCCGGAGCCCGTCTCACCGATAACAATTAAAATTTGATTGTCTGAGACGGCTTTAATGAGATCGTCGCGTAGCTTGTAAATGGGTAGCGATTGACGTTGCTCCAACAGCGACATGTCGGTCTTTTTGCCAAACGATGACTTCTTGCCGCCGATGACATGTTTTTTCCACTCGGGTACTTCAATCGTTGCACCAGAGCCGATGCCGCGTGTACTCGTCATAGCACGCGAGTCATCCTCGTCGGGCAGGGGATCGATCCAATTGCGGCTCATGTTGGTTGGCGCGACCGCATCTTGTTCGCGCTGTAGCATTTTCTGTTCTCGTCTCTCCTTCGATAAAGCTGACTGCATCATGGCAGCTTGCGCCAGCGAACCATCTGGATTCTTAACAATGCGCACGGGGGACAGGTCGTGCAGTGCGCGGCCATGCCCAGAAAGGAATGGCGGTTCTTCTTCCACTATTTCTATTTCAATATCGGCTTCGTCGTCTTCGTCTTTTTGTATCAGGCCCGTTTCTTCATCAAAATCAGGCATTTCGCTGCGATCGATGACTCCGGAGCTGATCATTTGCTTTATTTCCCAACGCTCGGGGCTGGATATGCGCGTGACACGCTTACGAGAGTCACTCTCATCGTTGTCCATGCTGCCGCCCTGTGTAATAATATTAGTGATGAGTGGATGATCACAAATATTTTTACACAAATAACTTACCTGCAAATTTAGCAACGAAGTACCACTATACGGCCGATCGGGATTGCGATCCCGCAGATCGTCATCCGGCGCTACATGCGATAGCGGATTCAGGTCGCGCCCAGTGGCCTGATCAACCTCCTTCATTGAAAGTGACACTTTCTGTCCCGCAATAGACATCACTTTCACCTTTACATTCGCATTACGTTGCACCACTTCTGTTACGTCGGTGACACGCCCTTCAGAGCGCAACTGCGAAATATGCACCAGTCCTTCCCAACGCTTGCGCAACCCAAAAAGCTGCACGAAACAGCCAAAAGGCACAATATTTGCCACTTTACCCGAGTAGATTTTTCCCGGCTCCGGGTCATCTGGTAGCTGAGCTGGTGGTGGCATTTTCTCATTGCGACCATGGCGCTCTGTGGAATTTGAACGTGAGCGCTTGCGGCCACTCCGTTCGTGGCGATCACGGGAACGCGATCTTCTCCGACCGCTACGATTGCTTCGCTCACGCGACCGCGAACGCCGGTGGTGATCGCGCGACCGTGAACGTGAACGGCGTCTACTGGTGCTATTAGTGCTATGACAATGAGAACGTGAGCGCGATCTCGAACGAAGCCTACGTCCATTGCGATCGCGTTCTCTGTCACGCTCGTGCCCTCGATCACGATCTTTTGATTTGGTACGCGAACGCCGCCGCCTGTCATTTCGTCGTCTCTCTGCCGGTGAATCTGAACGGGAACGACGTCTGTCACGGCTTCTTTCGCGTCTGCTACTACGTTCATGGCGCGAGCTGCGCTCCCTTGAGCGTGAACGTGAATGTCGGTCAAGCTTTTTCTTTTTTTCTGATTTAATCTTTACATCTTCGTACTTCTTTTGAGCAGTTGGCGCAAGAGCTTCTAATTTTTCCATAGTGTAATCAATGTCGCTCTTTTTAGGTTTTTCATCCTTTTTTATTTGTTTGCTGGGTGCCAACGCTTCCAATTCGGCCATGACGTCATCGACATCCTCATCCTCTGATTTGTCTCCTTTCTTTCGCTGATCTGGCGCCAATGCTGCCAACTCTGCCATTGTGTCGTCCACACTTTTAGACTTTTTGCGCTTGCTAGGTGCAAGGGCTTCCAGCTCATCCATAACGTTATCAATTTCATCACGTTTCTTTGACTTGGTTTCTTTTCGAAGCTCGTTTTCCTGCTCACTTTCAGAATCACTTGAAGAAGTCTCACTGGCACTTTCACCACCGCTGCTATAACTTTTGCTAAATTTATCATTTGGCAAAGCTAAACCTGGGAACATTCGTGTCAACTGATCCGCCTTGGCATTTTTTACACTACTAACGCCTTCTAATGCCTCATCTCCTCGGCCAGGTTTCATCAAATTAATAATACGCTGTAGATTGGTAACGAAGGAATCTGGAAATTCAGCTCCATTATCATGCAAGGCCTTACGAAATCCATCAAATGTTGGATTTTTATCTTCCAAATCGATTATGAATTCCGCTAGGTCTTTGTCGTTCAGACCCAAGTGATTTTCTAATTCGGTGCAAATTTTTGACACCAATGATAAGTATTCGAGACGCCGCAACTCCTCCATTTCGTGTGGGATCGATTTTTAATAAAATGTTCACTTAATTTCCATAGAAATATACCTTGAATTCACTGCAACGCGAAAAAATTTGCAAGAATGCTGAAAAATGCTTGTAAACGTAAACCACATACGCTGGTGACAATCAGCTGATTTATGATTTATGTTAGGTTTGTTCGTCGAAAATCCAGCAAGAATTATCCAACACTCAAAATATCAGAGAGTAAGAAAAAATTCTCTCAAATTCTCTCTCATGTTGAGAAACTTGCAAATTTCTGCACGAACGCAAATTTGCAGGAATTTGCAAGTTTCGCTGCCAGCTGGCGTCCACGGTTGCATTTCAAACATAAAATTTTTTTATAGAATTTTTAAAATTCTTTCGGATGGCCAAAACAGGATATACATGTATATTTCTTGTTGTTCTGACTTTCTTTAACATACATTTCAATTTCTTCATCGTACTAGCTGTCGGGTTTCTTAAATCGACTCTGGTTGCAATTGCAATTTTTCAGCCGAATTAAGTTCAAATGGAATTAACTAAATTAATTATATCAACAATTATTTACTTCCTTTTTTCATAAAAAAATCGCTCGTGTTTATAAATTTTTAAATTTAACGAACTAATTTATTCAAATTATTGTAGACAAAAATGCAACAAATGCTGGCAAAATTTTTTCCGGCAAGAATTTGTAACTTCTCTCCAAGAGAACTGTCACTTTGCTCTCACAATTTTTGAGTGTTGGATAATTTTTTGGTCTGCACGAACGCGATTTGGGCAAAAATCGTGATAATTCGTACAAATTCGTACAAATTTTTTGCTCGACGAACAAACCTGTTAACTGACAGCTAGTGCTGTGCAAATGGGTGTGTTTGAGCTATGGAAATGAAACGGAAACAAAGTTCGAATTAAGTGGTATAATTTAACACAAAAACTTAATTTAAATTCATTTTCGTTTGTTGCGATTCGATTTTTCTTTCTCGAGATATACCAGTTTAAATGTGCAGTACTTCGGTATTGTTTCGTAACTGCCATACCTAAACAAAAGCGTCAGCCTTGTCTGGCTGTCGAAAAATTCGCATGCCCATACAATTGGTATTGTTACGATTATCCTCGAAACCTTGAGGGATTTTCCAAATATACTCGGGCTCGTATCGCTGGATTGTTAAATAAATGCTAACGATGACCAAATGGTAGTACAATTAATTATTTTATTGTACAACAAACAATTTTACAATACTTGCTAATACAGTAAAAATACTACAATACTTGTTAAAGCAATTACAACACTTTACTGAACTTGTTACACACAATTAAACTTATAGCTTGCTTACTCGCAACTCGCTTCTCTGCTCACTTTACTTGTAGCTTGCTGACTTGCAACTAACTCAACTCGCTGTGGTGGCGCCCTTATATACCTGCGCTGGCACTTATGGCAACTCTAGAACATTCTGAAGTTTATCGCTCATTCTCTTTCTCTCGCTGTTCGCAGTGTTCATCCAACTTGACGTTTCTCTTTGTGGAACATTCTACGTCATTCCTCGAACATTCTGCCTATTTCTTCTGTTCGCTTTGTGTTGCCGCAGTATTCGCCACACTGCCCTCCACCTAAGTCTGATCGTCCCGATCAGACACACTTGCCGCTCCAGCCGCTGCAAGTCTATCCAAGTGGACCACTTTCATCTTGGTCCTCGGTCTCCCCATTGTCTGGATTTGATGCACTGCGTCCTTCAGCCGTTTGTCAATCTTCAACGGATCTTTCCAGTCAAGTCTTTGCTTGGAGGTAAAGCTTTTCTTCTGCTGCGACATGTACAACCACAGTGCGTTACTGGACATTGCTTCCGGCTTATCTCCGGGAGTGCGCCATCTCACATGGTCGTGCTTCTGCCGGCCACTGGTCGTGACCAGACCATGTCTCTTCTCGTGGGCACCCTTTTCGGATCTATGCCGCATCATCTGTCCCTGACACCCTGACTCCCGCCTTCGCGCTGCACTGCCTTTAGCACATCTTGCTACATCCGGATCCTTACGCTGAAGCTTCCGCCGTCGTTTCGTATCTCGCTCTTCCGCCGATGCTAACTTCATTGACCGGACATGTATAATCTCACCCTTGGCTTCCGGTTTAACTGCTCGCTTTTGCCGACCACCTTTTTCAGGACACTTCAAAGCGCGCCTACTGCTACCACAGCCGCTTCCATTTCCGGCCACCGGCGTATCACCATTGCACCATTGGTTCAGTGGCTTTCCTCCTGCCGGAAACACTGCCTGGCTCGCCATGACCACTTCCCTGTTGCGACCTCTTCTTCACTGAGCTAGCGGAACCGTCATGCTTTTCCTGTATCAGTGAACCGCTTCCTTCTCCTGATGAAACGACTCCGTCTCCATCACTGCCAACCTCCGCCCAACTAACCGCTTCCGTTTCCGGTGGAATTGTCGACACTTCCTCTAAGACTGACCGTCTACTGCAGTACTGGCTGTCGTAACCAGCCCTAAGTGGCACTTTCCTGTGACGATCTGTCAGGATCATTCTCTGGAGGTCAATCTTCATGCCTTGGCCAAGTAAGAAATCCACGCCGATGATGACTTCATCCACAATGTTTGCCACTATAAACTTAGTGTACGAGGCCCAACCGTCGATTATTACCTCGCATGGTACTTCTCCCAACACTTGGGTGCATTCACCAGTTGCAGTCTGCAGCTTTGCTCCAGGTAGTGGCTTCACATAAAAAGTGGCCAAATTCGGTCGAATAATGGAATGTGTCGCTCCAGTATCCACTGTCAGTACTCTCTCCTGCCCATTCACACATCCACCAATAGTGAGGTTGCTCGCATTCCGGCCAATTTGTGAGACGGAGATTATGGGCCCTTCAACTTCTGGAGCCAGCACGCGGCCCTTCCTGCTGGCTCGTTTGAGTTTAACGACTGATTGGAGTTGGCTTCGTCTCCTTCAGCCCTGCGTTTGCGTCCTGCTGAATTGTTGAGCGCATTGGAACTTGCACTGCAATCGCGGGCGAAGTGGCCTGGTTTTCCGCAACTAAAACATTTGCCAGAGCCATGCTTTTCCTCGCCCAGCAGTTGATAATCTTCTTCAGCATTTCATTTGTCTCGTCCGGTGTTTCCACTTCCACGCGATGTGCTTTGTAGGCTGGTCTACTTAGGAGCGCCGCCGTTTCACGCGTCTGAGCATACGAAACAGTTTCAGCAAATGTTGGTTTTGGATTCGCGTACGTCTCTCGCTTGGTATACACGTCCCGCATTCCGTTGATGAACCTCTGGATTTTTACTCTTTCGAGGTGCTCGCCAGATGCATCTCCAATTGCCAAATGAGCCAACCTTTCAACCTCGGAGGCGAATTCCTGTAGAGTCTCGTTGGATTTCTGGCAGCGATTCTCCAGCTCCATCTGGTAAATCTGTCTCCTGTGCTCGCTACCATAACGTCTTTCCACTGCACCCATTAAGGCATCGTAACTGTTCCTTACACAGTCGGGAATAGTCTGCAATATTTCCGCTGCAGGTCCTTTTAATGTCACGAACAGAGCAGCGGATTTATCGTCCATGCTCCAGTTGTTAGCTGTAGCCGTCTTTTCGAACTGGAGCTTAAAGACTTGGAAAGGAATCGTGCCGCCAAAGGATGGAGTCTTTACCTTGGGCGCGCTGGTCGAAGAAGGTGGACGATTCAACTGCATATCTCGGAGGCGACCTTCCAACTCTTCTACCTTAGCCTCGACTTTATCCTGTCTATCCTTGATTTGTTCGTTATCTCTAGCCAAATTCTCCTGCAGTTGTGTAATCTTTGCATCCTGGACTTCCAGCAACTGTGATACGTGTGTCTTCTGTGCCTGTAGCTGCGACGAAATATCTGACAACTGTGTTTGCATCTGAGATGACATCCGTGACATGCGTGTATCCTGTGCTTGCATCTGTGACGACAGCTGTGATGACATCTGTGACATGGCAGCCAATAACGTGTTCAAGTCCATTGCTGTTGATGAACTTGGAGACTTTTGCTGTTCTTCAACCTTCCCGGATGTCTGCTGCACATCCTTCGACGAACAAGCAGCCTCATCCTTCTGTTGGTCCTTTGCGGATGCATCGTCGGATTTACCCTGGAAGTCGCATTTGTCCACGTCGGTGCCTTCAGCTTCCATAGCCTCCCGCAAACGGGACAATAATTCCACTTTTCTTCCGGAGGTGGCCAAATTACGCTTTTCCAACTCTTGTTTCAGCTCCTCAATCTTTAAGTCCTGAATTTTCGCCATTTTTAGTAGTTTCTCCTTCGGGATTTATTTAACAATCCCACTTCTGACACCAATTGTTACGATTATCCTCGAAACCTTGAGGGATTCATGGGATTTCCCAAATATACTCGGGCTCGTATCGCTGGATTGTTAAATAAATGCTAACGATGACCGAATTGTAGTACAATTAACTTTATTGTACAACAAACAATTTTACAATACTTGCTAATACAGTAAAAATACTACAATACTTGTTAAAGCAATTACAACGCTTTACTGAACTTGTTACACACAATTAAACTTATAGCTTGCTTATTCGCAACTCGCTTCTCTGCTCACTTTACTTGTAGCTTGCTGACTTGCAACTAACTCACCTCGCTGTGGTGGCGCCCTTATATACCTGCGCTGGCACTTATGGCAACTCTAGAACATTCTGAAGTTTATCGCTAATTCTCTTTCCCTCGCTGTTCGCAGTGTTCATCCAACTTGACGTTTCTCTTTGTGGAACATTCTACGTCATTCCTCGATCATTCTGCCTATTTCTCCTGTTCGCTTTGTGTTGCCGCAGTATTCGCCACAGTATGAAGCATACCGAAACAATGCGGCGTTAACGCGGAGCGGTTGGAAAATCTTATTTTGACAGGGCGTTAGGTATTGAAGTTGGCTGCAAAAAACGACGAAACTGTCATTTTCGTGTTAGGTCGGTGTTATGCAGAAATTTGGTTTGGCAAACCGCGTGCAATTGTTGTTGCAGCAAACTCGGAGAGAGCGAGTTTGTCGCCTCTCACAGCAAACTAAATTTGTTTGGTCAAACTGCAGCAAATTCGGCGTTATCATATACAAAAATTTTAGACAATAATTGCTATACACAAAATTCTCATTTCGTGTTGGCAATAGCC